CCACGGTGTGACTAAGGTATAGTTTGGTGTTCCACATTCCCATGCTGTGCTTAAGGAAATTTATTATTATTATTATTATTATTATTATTATTATTATTATTATTATTTATCTGCAATTGAACAATTCCCAATAGATAAATGTTCCAATCCAGACAGGTTTATTTTGTACTTCTTCTGAAATAATTTGATATTATTAAAGTATATCAAAAGTATATTTTTTCAGCTTATGTAATGCTCTGCATATGGTATCTTTTGAGAATACTGCCATTTTAAAAGTTTTCAATTACTGATAGGCGAGATCTCATTTGTTGCGAGTTTTAAAGTATTATTAATCGAATAGAAATTGTCGTCCACTTATAGAGTTTATTTCAAGCCTTAAAACATGTAAACCAGTTATAAACAGTATGATCAAAGAGCGTTTGATTTTATTACACTTACCAAATTCTGCGAACCTGTTCAAAATAACGCCTCAGAATTGACGAAATCAATATTTTTCACCGCCATTATGGAATCTAAAACAAAACGTACAGTTAAACATTTTATTAGTGGTACAAAACTTAATAACCACCATAAATAGACAAATGAATATAATTAAATGAAAAAATTACGGACGAGTTAGCTAACCGGTTTCGAACCTCGCTTGGGGCTAAATCGATGTTTATAAATATGTATATAGTATCAATGAAAGGAATGAAATCTCGGGGAAAAAAATAGATGGAATATAGAAAAAGTTGCAAATTGAAAAAATAATGTTTTTTTATGAAAGTATTTATTTACTTATATATATTTGATATTTCAGATTGACCTCAATCTTTCTTCAGAAATAACTGTTTGTTTACAAGTAGCATCCGTCGCGAGACGCGGACGTCTCGTGATATGGAACGCCACTGTGTTCGAATATTCCTAACGTAAATCTAACTGTAATAATATATAAATATAGGTAACTATACTCGTCCCGAAAAACCTTCGAATTTTTGATTCGCCAATAATCAAATCAATCTCCAACCTGACGATCCGCTTAGGTGAAACCTGAGTAGGTTTGTCTGGCTCACTAGGTTTTGACTATATATATATATATATATATATATATATATATATATATATATATATATATATATATATGCCGGATAGCACATTTTTTTATTATATTTTCTCGGGTACGCAGGCCGATAGACGTAATACATAATTATTTACATTATTTATATTGTTCGGACTGTTGTGCTCATCTTTATTGCCATATTCACGACGTTTCGGTCGTTGTACGCTCCGGCTTTCCTCAGGTGATTGGAATTTCGAACTGAACCCTTTATTTCGTTCAGTGGGGTAGATTATTCTAGCTCTACATACCGCACCCCTTCTGGATGTCTCAGTTATCTCCCATTAATACAGCTTTCCAAGATTCTGTTCACCATTGCAATATTGAACTCACAATGCTTTGGGTCAAATCACTGGATCCAACCTTCGCTTTTATCTACCATGTGTTCAATTACCTGAAGAAGACCGAAGTGTACAGCGACCGAAATGTCGTGAATATGCCAATAAAAATGAGGGCAACAGTAATGTAAACAATTTAAATACCTCATCTCAGAAACATAGACAGGTAATACATAATGTTTAAAAATAATAAAAATAAAACATCGAGCGTTTATTTGAAATATGGGTATTAATTTTTATTATATTTTAACAGTATGTATTACGTCTATCGGCCTGGGCACTCGGTAAAACATAAAAAAAAATGTGCTCTCTCAACATTAAATGCTTAAATAGTTGAAATAGTTAATGCACGATGAGGAGATCAGAATATATTTATCATATATAAGGTCTAACATTCAAAAAATTGCCAAAGAGCATCAAGAACATGTTTCACACAAGCAACTTAAATATACAATGAAAAATCTTAAAAAATAAATGCTTATTTCAGGAGACTTTATTTTTTTCTTATTTTCAAATTTCATGAATAATTTTCCCTTTTTAAAGTGCGCTCAGAATTTCGGTTATTCTACAAGTTCACCCTGAAGTTTGATTTAGTTTGGTTTATTTTGTTTTTAATGTGTTATTTAACGCTGACAAGAATTTTAGGATATCTATCCTAAAAATCTTGTCGGAATTATATATAAATAGAATATGTATTCTTTGTAAGAAATCAGTTTGTAGATCAGGTTTCATTGACGTATTATTTTCGTCCCCCAAAAAAACGTATTGCTGGTAATATTTTCCCCAAAATTGTATTGCTGGTAATTTTTTTTTTCTTTAAATTTATTGCTCGTATTTTTATACATTCATAGTGTTTTCGCCCCAGTTTGGGGGTTAACTATTTGGCCATTATTGCGACCCTGACAGATGCAAACTCCCCCAGGTCAGGGTGGAGCTGGGAACAACACGATCCTCAAAACCCTCTTTATCAGAGGCCTTGCTGTAAAGTAAAAAAAAAAAAATGTTAAGAAACACTGGTATATGTAAACACTGATTCACTCAATTATGACTGTAACATATTAAATATTGGAGGCAAGTTAAAAGGAAAATTTGTGATCATATTTTACAGTTGAGTACATATAAATCCGGTATATCCAGCCAGGTATTTATAGCATACGGTGTTCCGACTTGTTTTTAGTTTATTTATTTCGTTACCCGTGAATTAAAACCCCGGTTGGACGAGCATATATAAAGCCTAAGAAGATCTTCTATTGCATCAAAGTTTGGTCTGGTCATTCATTGCAACTGGGGCAAGGAATTGCTTGTAAATTTTAACAGCTCCAAAACAAACCTGTTTTCATTTGATAACCAGCATGGCAGATGTTAAACACGAGGCAAGAAACACTTTGCGCTTTTCTTGGAATCAGCCTTTCCATTGACATGAAGTCTAGTGATTATATCACGAATTAACTCAGCAATTAAGCAAAATATTAGCTTGACTAATGGTAACCTCCAAGAAAGGAGTAACCTTCTCAGCTGATATGAAGTAAAAAGACTATATTGGATCCATTACTTGGTCAGCTGCTAAGACAGTTGGTTCAGTGTGTCATGCTAGACAATGTTTCTCTCCAGAATCTATCTTACATATCTATAAGTCGACCATTCATCCATGCTTAGAATATTGCTGCCATATATGGTCCGGTGCTCCTGCACTTAAAATTAAATTTAAATGGAGGGTAACAAATTTAAAAGTGAACAGATTTTAGTAGTTAAAGTGTTCAGTATTAAGAATTTGATTAATGTAGCAGATAAATAAAAATCGGAAGCACTTATCTTCCAGCTCAAATTATGCAAACACACTGCCCCACTTGCCAGAACAAAATGAATTAACTGAATTCATTAACACCTATTATATTTATTTATTTTAAACCATCAGCAAATGTGAATTCTATGATAATTTAAATTTGTCTCATATTTAATAAACTATGTGATAATTGGTAAACATTTGCTAGATTTATTTTCCTTAAACTTTTCATACAAATTTAAATTTAAAGATTCTTGATAGAATGAGGAGAAGGATTTGCAATATTATTGGTCTTGACATGACATCTCGGCTTCAGTCACTTTCCCGCCGCTGTAGTATAGCTTCCATGTGTCTTTTCTATAAATACTTTCACGGTAACTTTTCAGATTAACTCTTCACTGTGGTACCTAGACTTTATGGATTAAAACACAGTACTAGATTGACAACCAGGTCTCATCAATTTACAGTTGAAATGGTTAGATGTAACCGCAAGTTCTATGCTAACTTTTTTTTCTCGCACTTCTCACTTGTGGAACTCTATTACGGTTCCATCCTTTCCGGCCAACTTTGACTTTCAAAAATTTAAATGCAATGTTAATCATTATCTACTGTCTTCCTGATTGCTGTTCTATTGTTCTCGTATCTTCATAATGCTTCTGTTTTCCAAATCTTTCGCGCCCAGTAACCCCCTTCTGTCTTAGTGGCTTCCTCGCGTTAAATTCGATTAAAAAATATTACACGCAGAATAAGATAATTGCATGTATGATTTATTTATTTAATAATAATTTAAGTTCTAATATGTTCGAAATATTGCCTCTTTCTATTTATGCTTTTGTACCTAAAGGAACCTTATTAGAATATCTTCTTTTTTTAGTAGCCATCTCACACATGTTTTATGATGGAAACAATTTACAGCTGTTACGGGTTTAAGTGGGTTAAATAAAGTGTCCAGCATAACATCCTCGTCCCAGTTTGTAGTTACATTGTATTCTTTGCTTAGTTCCTCCTCCCGATATCCTGTTTCTTTGACATTGTTGTTCATAATGCGACCAATAAATTTTCAGATTTAATAACTTAACATTTTATGAATAGTCCAATTGACTAAAATATGTCACTCCGGGGAACATTAACTTATTGCCTAATGTTGGAATTTCCAAGTGAATTGCTGTTACCTGACCCTTAGCGACAGTCATCAGAAAATTCAGGGTAATACTGTAGTACTGTGTGTACTACAACCGAACTTCCCGGCTCTGGGCAGTGCTTTGTAACATTCGCATTTGCTTTTTTTTTATATACCTACATTTATATACGTTACAAATTAAGCACAACTGATAAAGGATGAAAAATTTTCACGGATTTTGATGTCATTCTGGGCCATTTTTTTGTCGTCCAAATCCGCGAATTTGTTTTGCCTATGCTAAGTTTCGAAAAAACACTCTATAAAATTCATTATTTTTTATCCATAATGTTGAATGTGTTAAAATTATTCAACTTTTTAACTGTTAAAAATTAACGCAAAACATTGTTGATTTGTTTGAAATAGAATGAGTTATGATGATATGTCTCTAATTTGTATTTAGATACATTGTATTTATTTTCAATTTTTCTACTTGAATTGTTCACCTATATTGCATATGATCCATTATTGTACATAATTAAGTTACAATAAAATTTATATCTTATATGAATACTTCCTTATGAAAATTGAGATTAAGTTCAGTAGAAGCCCTGTATCATAGATTCAGGCCCCCACCCCCACAAAATCTTGCACCGGCTCTGGTAGATGTTTCTCGTTCCGCGGTTCATACCTTGGAAACATTTTCCTTTTTGTAATCAATTCACCCCAAGCAAGGCGTTAATGTCACTAAGATACAAGTGACTACTGGGGGTGAAAGAGAATGAGAAGACTTTAGGAGAAGAAACCGGAAATCCGATCTTTAAAAGAAAACAAGGGATAAATCGCTACTCCTGTTCAAAAGAACAGGGTTGAGTATGAACTAGATGATAGACAAACCTATCTGCTCCTATTGAAACAATGACTGAATATCGAGGAAATTTATATTTTGCATTAAGATTTTTTAAAGACGTGAAAAAAATTATCTATCTTTTTAAGGGCAGTGTCTGTTCTGCTTGTTTGCAACGTTTTGCTTTTGGGGAAATGGAAACCGTCGAAATTATATTATATATAAGTTGCACTTAACAAATTCTTAAGAATATTATCGGCCTAAACACTCTAGAAAACTTAATAAATTAAATGTGTCATTAAATTTCCTCGAGTGTTCAGCCTGATAAATCTAACACGCGCTGTCTATATTTCTCGTAAAAAATGGTTACTGAGACATTAAGATTATAAGTCCCAAAAATTCATACACTAATGTCTTAAGGACATCTACACTGTCCAGTGGGTAAAAGTGTTGGTTGGATCCAGTGACTTGACCTAAAAATGTTGTGAATTCAATACCTAGGAAAAAAAAATTGGAGATAAAGGGAGATAACTGAGACATCCAGAAGAGGAATGGCACATGGAACTAGAAGAATCTACTCCGGTGGACGAAATAAAGGGTTCAGTTCGAAATTCCAATCACCTGAAGAAGGCCGGAGCGGACAATGGCCTCGTGAATATGGCAATAAAGATGAAGACAAAAGTCCGAACAGTGTAGATAACGTAAGTAATAAAAACGTGGTGTCTATTTCAGATGCAGGAATCCATTAAACAAGTAAATTGAAATCATAATATGTCGTATTAAATATATATATATATATATATATATATATATATATATATATATATATATATATATATATATAATGTTATTATTGTTGGCAAATAATATAGGCAAAGTTATATAATTTAAAACGTATTTTATATACGTTTTAAATTATATAACTTTGCCTATATTATTTGCATATATTATATTCATATAACAGAATTTCTGCGTATAAAATGCTCAATATACGACTAGATTGATAATTATTATTAAAGTGGAAGCCAAAACCTTCAATACTTAATGAAGCTCAACTCAGATGTCCATAAGTTTTTAATCGCTCATTGGCATTCCCGACAAAAATCTTGTATATATAATTTGTTGTTGTTATTAACACACTCTCTCTCTCTCTCTCTCTCTCTCTCTCTCTCTATATATATATATATATATATATATATATATATATATATATATATGTATAATAAATTTGGGTATGTAATACCGATAAAGTTATAAGTTATTGACATTTGGAAAAGCGTCCATGAAATTATGTTTCGAAAATTAGAGGCGAAATGCATTATCGGATATTATTTTGGAAACAAATTTCATGAACGTTTTTCCAAATGTCAATGAAATATATATGTGTATATATATATATATATATATATATATATAGGCAGCATATTTTCATTCAAAGATATTTCATTGAATAATATATGCATATTATTTCTATTTTTATAATAATCCTTTCCCGTTCTCTAATCAGTTTCTTTATGTTAAGATAACATTCATCAAGGAAGGCACCGTGGTTTTTTCCTACCCAAGTACTTTAGATCTCCTCCAAGATCATCCTCAGGGGTGAATTACAAACACAAAAACGTATTGTAACTGTGAGATGTGATGGTGATTTAAAAGAAAAAAAAACACGCGTGAACGCACTTATAATTATTTTAAAATTTTAAATTTATCTAGGTACCAACATGGGATCGCTGGAAAATGAGCATATCAGGATAATAACGGCCTCAAACTTGATAAAATTAATTTTTATCGTCTAAATGTTTATGTTATTATCAAGAGGAAAGATCAAAGTATTTTTTGTTTATTTTCTCATATTTTTTAATAATTTCTAGCACGTCCAAAATTTTCGTTAAAAATCTTGTATATTTTTATCAGCAAAATTGACAGAAAATCGAAAATTTTTTAACTTTTGTTTACAAAAGTGAAATCTCCGTTTAAAATTCTTTTAAAAATCAATTATGATTTTTTTTTAAATTAATTTAAAAAAATTAAAAATTATAAAGTTTATTTAATATATCTTGAAACAAAGATTACTTATTTTTTGTGCTGAAAAATGTACTTTAAAATGAGAGAAAGTCGGTCTTAAGAGCGTTGTTGTTTGACAAGTGACATGCGCATGATTTCATCACGCACTGATATTACGGGAGGAAAAGTTATAGTACGGAAGGTCACACGTGACAGTTTAGCTTTATGTGAACAACTTATTTAACTCGTTATTTTTAAGTAGGCATAGCATGATGAACACGGCCTTAAACTTGACGAAAGCAGAATTTTATTGTC